CTCTTGGCATCGTAGGGTATTAGCATCGAGATTCAATCACGATGTCACGCCTGTCACTCCTGTGTCCGCAGCCAGTGGACAGTGGACAGTGGACAGTGGACAGTGGACAGTGGAGCGGACAGGAGATAAGACGTCCGTGGACGTGGACGACAGATAAGACACCGGGAGTTAGAAATCATCATATTCATGTATTTCATTTATCTCCACGCACGGAGGCAAATTTCCTGTAACCGCTTGAAAAAAAAAAAAGAAAAAAAAAAGAGAGAATTGTGTTGATGTACAGATAAATGACCGGAGATGAAGCTGTGAATCCACGTCACTGCAGTTCCACAATATACACAGTAGCATGAAGTACTGCTGTATGCAAAAGTACATGTGATGCAGTACAACTATACTGTTGTCTGATTACGCTGATACGTATTTCCGTTTCAAACATGCTCTCATTCCCGCCTCAGGTTTGACGTGGTAGTTAGTACATCCATTAGGGGGCGTTGATGAGCTCGGCGTTCCGCCATTTTTATATTGTTCTTTCGTCGTTTTCTTATCGTTTCTTTCATGAAAAAACCGCGAGATGTGTGGCACAACACTGCCGCCACGATTTGGTACAGTGGTACTGCACCGTGTTGTGGACCGGGATAACGAAAACGTACTAAATCTTTAACGTAACAAGCGTAGAGGACGGTGAAGAGCTCCGTATCGTAAATGTTGATCAAGAACTACAGATAGTCATTAAGATCCACTCCGATATTGGGATCGATTAGATTTATCGACAACAGGTTTGGTCTAAAGATATGATTTTAAACATGTCGTCACCTCAGTCTCTCGGTAAAAAGACAAAGATTCGTTGATATTATTCTCATTTTCAAGACTTTGTTCCTGTGATTTAATTTCAATGATTGTTCTTCATAATCTGGTGCAATATTTTAAATATAAACGTCCAGTTCTAGAGACTTCGTACTGGTTTAGTTTCTGGACTGGTTTGGTCTTTGGAGACAAAAGACATTTGAAAGTAGAGAAGTTCAGACTCTGTCCGTGAATATCCATCATGGCGCGGGTTTTTGTTGTTGTTGTTGTTGTTGTTTTTGTCATGAGAGATTTATTTCCAGGTCTTTTTAAACAGACCTGTTGTTGTCAACAGGTGGAGTAGAGCTGCACACAAACACACTGCAAATAAACACTCAAACACACACAGAGAAAAGTCAGAAAACGCTGACTGTGTTACGTCTAATGTGTTTGAATGAATCTCTCAGTGTGAAATGTAACTGTAAATAAACAAGCAGACAAAGACCCTTCATCACTTCCATTTATTCATCACGTCACTGTTGGGACCATTTACTGCAGATTATCTGTCACTGTGTCACAAAGATTTGCACACTGTGATCATGCACTTTATAAGCAAGGAATTAGTCAATGTATATAGGAGAATTAATGTATGGAGATGAGGCACCGCAGGTCTGGTTCAGTTGATCCTCAGCTGCCTCTTGGATTCACTCACAGGCACGCAGTAAACAACCTGCTGCCAGAACCCCCCACGCTTCTGTTTAATCTGCCGTTTCACTGAGCTCCAGCCTGATTCACAAATGGAAGAGTGGAACTCGGCAGCAGAATCCACTCCGGCACATTAACCAGAAACGCTGCACGCACAGAATGGCTTCAGACACTAAGCCGAGGCCTAACAGTAGGAGAGAACATTCCTGGAGAGATTTCTGGCCACACTTTTTATTCTATGTTCAACTCCATGACCTTCACATAAAGGATGTATTACTTTGAAATAAAACCATTACGTTTTGAACTGAATTGGAAACAAAATGCTTTATATTGTTACAGGTGGATGAAATGACGTTTTTAATTCATTTGAAAATATATAACAATGCTCTTTAAAATGACTGAGATGTTTTAGGGAACAATAACACAAAAAGCTATGTAAATCTTGGGCTTATGCTGCCACCGTGTGGACAAAAGGATGTACAGGCAGTTATTGAACGCGAGGATTGACAAACCCATCTTCAGTGAAGTTGCTACACTTAAAATTCAATAAAGTTACATTTGTAGTTGAACTTTATGGCGCCAGAACAATAATTTTAGTTGTCGACGAAAAACAATACATTTGTCAATATAAACTAATTAGGTAATCGATAGCTGCAACTGCACTTTTGGTTGAAATGTTCATTTAAGTTCATTCGTGTCCAAAATGACATAAAGCCTCCTTTAAAGAAAGAAAACTTCAAGTTAACGTGTGTTTACTGCGGTGAGACGTCGATGACGTTTGTTTTCTCTCATTCCTTTTGATTATAAGAGGTTAAAACGAGCTACAGTCGACTAACACTGCATCTACGGTGCTTTCAAATCCGAGTTCAGCCTCAGTAAGTGAATGCAGCACCGACTGCCCATGTGCCAGTTTATTTATATAATAAAGTATTTTTGATCTCAAACTAACGAGCGTAGATTTGGACCAGTTATACACGTGACACCATACACACTGTATGAACTTGAATGTTCAACCCATTTAAAATAATCGTCAGTTCCTTTGTAATGAGGTTCGGATGAGGTGGTGAGAGTTGTACCAATGGGAAACAAAGGTTTCCAAAACACAAACCTTTAAAACGGACTGAGTCCTGGCAAATCTGGCAACCCAGCACTTGACGCCCTCTCTCCTCTCGCTCCAGTGTCTGCACTTGTTAATAACTGCAGCCTCACAGCGACCATGGCAGGAAAGAGGGCTTTAGTGATTGTGTCTAAAGGCGCAGAGGAGATGGAGACGGTGGTTCCTGTGGACATCATGCGGAGAGCCGGGGTCTGTTACTGTTCCTCCGACTTAACGAATAACCTGCTGCGACTGTTAGCAGCTAGCTTAGCCGAGCTAAGTTAGTTAGTTTGACATATCAACACGAAGTCATTCATTTACAGAACACATCAACACGAAGTCATTCATTTACAGAAAAGAACCTCAGTTTAACCCGTTAGTCTCATATTAATTTGATCGTATCGTGTTTTTAGCCGTATCTTGTACCGCTTTAAGGTGAACGTCAGCAGCTAATATTAGCATCACAGATCACTGGTTTCTAATGTAAACATTCATATATTACACACGAACCACTTGTTGGTTAAATCTCCAACGCTTTTATGTATATATTTCTTCAGACATAGTTAAATGTCAGAGTTCAACGTCATTACAAGCTCGGCGGTTTGAGGCCCTTCAAAATAAAAGTCTTCGTCGTGTTTATAGATATAAACAGCCTGTAAGGCACCAACTTCCTTATTGTTGATTTGATTTGAAGACATGTCTGTTTCTGTAGATTGCAGTTACGCTGGCAGGACTGAGTGGTAAAGATCCAGTTCAGTGCAGCAGGAACGTGGTCATCTGTCCTGATGCCAGTCTGGACGAGGCCAGCAAACAGGTGTGACACGTTTGGACCGCGTCCCACGGTTTTATCAGTATAAGAGCAGTTTGTTCATGTGTGAGTGACTAACGTACAGGTAATAAAACCACTGTAACAATAATCAGCTCTGGGACAAATCACAGCAGCCGTGGTCATTATATCACTGTGGAACTGATTCACCAGGACAGTTTGGACCCTGTTGTTGACTGCTCTGTAGAACATACCCTGTGGGGGCTAGTAGTCCACCCCTGATCTAGACCTTTGACCACAACCTGCACCCCCTCATGTTCCAGGTTGACTTCTTTTGGACACAGACTTTCCAGAACACCAGTATATAATCCTTTGGCCTTGGTACTAATGGGTCACCACCATCATCACCGTGTAGACTGAGTGACTTGATCTGTCATTGTGTAACAGTCAACAACACACACTGTGAATCACTTACTAGTAAATGTTACACTGATGTTCAAAAAGTCGAGCAAAAAAAAAAAAAAAAGACACAATTTGCTGCTTATTACTGGAAAACAAACCTGAACATTCTAGAAAATCTGTGGGTAGATCCTCGACGCACTGTGCTGCTGATGCTGCTGCTGATGCTGCTGCTGATGATTCTGCTGATGCTGCTGCTGATGCTGATGATTCTGCTGCTGATGCTGCTGCTGATTCTGCTGCTGCTGATGCAAAAGCCTAAAAATATCTCAGAACCTGCAGCTATTTACTGGACCAGTGGATGAAAATGCACAAATAAAAATAGAAAAAGTCGTCTGGCTTCACAGGCATTTTCAAACAGTACAAACTGTCCAAGCAAAATGGAAAGGTTACTGAGGCGTAGAGCTGCTGTTTTTCTGTTCTTTCTGCAGCGCTGCCATTTTATTTTAGCCAAATGTCCCGTTGAAGCTTTTTTTTTTTTTTTTTTTTCCATTCTTGCATCCTGTGTGGTTTCATGAGATGATTCCATATCAAACTGGCTCCTTACAGTAAAGTCTGTGTGTGATGGTCTTCTTCCCAGGGGCCGTATGATGTGGTGGTCCTACCAGGTGGAATGCCAGGGGCCCAGAATCTGGCAGATGTAAGAAATCATTTTTTTTCTGTTGGATTTGAACCATCAACTGCTCCAAAAATCTTATTTATTTTATCAACATGAAAATGATGAAAACAGATTATGATGTTTTTCTGAAAGCCATTTTGTGGTTATGGAACTGACTTCAGATGATCGGCCCCTAGTGGTAAAGAAAGGAACAGCACAGCACTGTATCACAGCGTTCAGCCACAGAGCGGACGATCGTGGAAACTTGGAGAACACGGTGGTCACTGAGTGGATAAACCCAGCAGCGGTGGACTCTGCTGACATCTACTGTCAAACCTTCTCCAACATCAGTGTGAAGCCACTGGACTGTGGAGCAGTGAGAACGTGTTCTGATGAATCCTGGTTCTCCTCTTCACGCTTCAGCGTTTTGTACAGCTGCTCAGATTTAAGGAAACCGTTTTGGGAATGTCCCTTTATTTTCCAGCATGGTTGTGACAAAGTCAGTGAGGAGAACACAGAGCCTTGATCTCCACTCAGTCAGGGACGAACCTTGTTGTTTGACTAGTTAAGTTTGTGTTAGTTTGTGTAGTTCCAGGTCCAAATCCAGGTGAAGACGGTCTGGTTTCTGTCACGTTGTTGATCTTGATCTTGATCTTGATCTTCCACTCAGACTGAGCTCCTGCTGTCTTACAGTCTCCTGCTGTGAAGGAGGTGCTGAAGGAACAGGACGGCAGGAAAGGCCTGATCGCAGCCATCTGTGCAGGTACAGTGTGTCCCTGTGACCACCAGGTGGCGCTTCATGAACATCACCACATGTGTAACAAATCAAGAGACAAGTGGTGAAGAAGTACCTAGTACAGTTTCTAGTTCAGTCGCCTGACGCCCACAGGGTTATGGGTTTGATTCTGGGCCCTGCTATCAGTAGATAATTGACAAATTAGTTCTTTCCAGCTCTGTGATTGGTCTGGATTTATCTTACATTTTCTGACCATCATCATAATATGTTAAAATAGTAAATTGTTAAAGTATCCCAGAGGTTCTCTGAGAGATCGCTACACCAACCACAGCACACCCCCATCATCCATCCATCCATCCATCCATCCATCCATCAGTACTTGGTTGGTAGGTTGGACCTAAAAACCTCCAGCATGTTCTAGACTTCACTCCGTCATTGTTTCCTTTTAAATTACAACCAAAAAAGTGTTTTCCATTTTCTCTTCACTCAGCTGCCAAAAACAGAAACAATAAACGTCCGGTCCTTGCAGATATTCTTGGAGTGTAGATATGGGGGTCCCAACACCTTCATAACCTCATGGTACTGTGACCAACCCCCAGTGATTTGCCTTGGTACTAATTACAGTATTAACGTAAGATCATAAACTCAAACCATAATCTGTTTTGGTTTTGGTTGATTCATGTATCTACTGTCGTTTGGCTTCAAAATAAAAATAAGTTAAATTCATAAGTTAAATTCAAAGCTGTCCCTGAATCACCCCAAGTTCACAGTGGAAGGACAGTGAGACAGTGGGACAGTGGGACAGGAGCCCAACTTCCAAAAGTGGAGTGAAGGATGTCCTAGAAAATGGGCAGAAATCTCATAGGAGTATGTAGTTTAATGAACCTGCCAGCAGGGGGCTTTGGTAAAACGGATATAAAATAATTATGACGTGAAACGACTCGTTCAAATGGTTCAAACAAGTTGACATCAGAGTTTGGGTCAACGGTTGATGAAGGGGCTGCATTAACCAAAACAGATTTTTCTTTTCTTCCACCCTGCAGCTCTCTCTCTCTCTCTCCCCCCCCCCCCCCCCCTCTCTGGGTGTGGACTGCTGCTCTGGCCCAGGATGGTGTAATCTCCAGATGGCATGGGAAGACAGCCAAGGAGCCTAATCAATAACTTTCTATTTATTAACAGTTTTAGTTTGAGCACACTGCAGTGCTGAGAGTCAGTGCTGAGAGTCAGTGCTGAGAGTCAGTGCTGAGAGTCAGTGCTGAAACAGTAACATGGAACTAAGAGTCACTCTTGAATGTCACTGCTGGTCCAGTAAAAATCAGAATGGTCACATGATCAGTTTTATGTATGTATTTAACTGCAGCAAACTGTGACCCTGAGTCGCTCCATGTACAGTCAGCAGTGGGTGGGTTTAAAGTCACCACGTGACAAATTATAACCAGGTTATTTTATAATTAAAACAAAAAAGGACGGGACATTTCCACAGAAATGTGTTTGTGGACTGGACAGATAGAAGCTGAGGTTTGGGTTGGTTGAAAACAGTAGTTATTAATAACTTCTCGTTTGCGTCATCAGATGAAGATGAAGAACTGAATATATCACCAGAACCAGGGGTTGAAGGTCACAGTAAAAACGCTAAACTCTCAACTCCCTCCACCCTTCCAGGTCCCACTGCTCTCCTGGCTCACGGCATCGGCTTCGGCAGCACGGTGACGACACATCCCTCCATGAAGGAGAAGATGATGGCCGGAGGTAAGAACCACAGAAACACTGACTCCACACAACCAAAAAATGTCTTTACTAATGGGGAAAGGACGTGTAGTTTTTATAAAACGACAGCAGATGGCGCTGTAACAGGCCTTTTTCACCGATAGAAAAATCATGTCACGCTGCAGCAGTGGAGAGCACACCACTCAGAGGTGATGCAGGGATTTGACAGAACATGCTAGAACTGGGTCAGTCCTGCTAGTGGTTAGAATCTCTGTTCTCTCCCAGATCGTCCTCACCTTCTTGTTGTTGTTGTTGTTGTTGTTGTTGTTGTTGTGTTTCTGTTCCAGACCACTACAAATATTCAGAGGCTCGAGTGCAGAAAGATGGCCATTTCATCACCAGCCGTGGTCCAGGAACCAGTTTTGAGTTTGCCCTGACTATTGTAGAGGAGCTCATGGGGCCTGAGGTCGTTGCTCAAGTCAAAGCTCCTCTGATGTTGAAAGACTGAATGTTTCTGAGTCACCTCAGCGCTAACAGCTACACAGGAGACAACAAAGACAGCAGTGACAGCAGTGACAGTAGTGACGACCCGCTCTGCTCAGCTGTGCTTCGTCCACCTTGAAGTAACACTGTATTACAGTATATTTACCGTCTTATTTTCCCAGCCTGCTCTGCTGCTGTAACCTGGCCATTAAAGCCCTCATGCAGTCAACGTCAGTAGTTGTGTGTTAATACCGGATGAAGGTCACGGTGTCTTGTTTTCAAATGCCTGCAGTGGCCGTTGACGCCTAAATATAGGCTGCAAATATAATGTATTGTAAGCTCTTAGAAGGCGGGAAACAGAATCCGAATAGATTGGCAGTGAGCCTGGCCAATAAGAAGCCTCGCTCTGATTGCAGTTGTATTGCCATTGACCAATGGCTGCTCGTGTTAAGCCTGGGGGGCGGGGACCGAATGCAGCGCGTGTAGTTGTGTCAGAGCAACAAAAATCCAGAGGCTCCACGGACACAGAAGGAGGAGGAGAGGATTTCGACGAAGGTAAGCGGCTGCAAAGGCTTCTGTGCCGGGCGTTTCTTTGACCAATGTGAGGGTTACATGTGGAATTCGTTCATGAAGCCGTGACGTTGGCGGCTGCTGTTCAACGTTAGTTAATCACGACAAAAACTAGCTTCTCTGTCATCGAAATTGACACGAGTGACGGCAATAAAGGCAAACATAAACAGAGCTTTTGAGTGTGTGTGTTTAAAAGCAGCAAACGCTGATACCGATTGGTTCGTTCGAGTGCCGTGGATGGCTGTAGAGTGGCCTGAAGTAGCAGCCGGTGTGAGTGGAACAGTTAGCTGGACTACAGCGTCAGTCCAACGTCAGTGAAGGAGCCTTTGAGACACACGGAGTGAGGGTCCGGTCAAGGCGAGGTGGTCCTGCAGATGTGAGCAGTCATGGAGACGTTAGAGACCGTGAGGCTCTCATCCTCGGCGGCAGCAGCAGCAGCCGCTGCAGCCACTGTGCTGCAGTCACTGACGGTGGCTAACAGTGCGGCAGAGGCCAGGTTACATCCACCTCACAGCCAGGAAAACAGCCCAGTCATCACCGTGGACTGACCACATCATTCTGTGCTGTAATGATCGAGTCCTTCCATGTCTTCATGTACGTCAGCGTCATCAACGTCCTGTGCACAGCCGTGGTCGTGCTGCAACAAATCACTGTCTGTCCAACTGTCTTTATTTCTGTCTGTCAACTGCAGGGATTGTCCAAACACCAGTTTACTGTTTTTACTTTTTAAAAATGTACGCTATTAATTACAACCACTACCTGCGTGACAGCTGTGTTACAAAATGACCCAACTTCATCTTCAGACTTTAGACTTCAGACTTTAAACTTTAGACTTCATCTTCAGACTTTAGACTTCAGACTTTAAACTTTAGACTTCATCTTCAGACTTTAGACTTCAGACTTTAAACTTTAGACTTTAGACTTTAAATTCAACTTCAGACTTCATCCTTCATCTTTCATCTTCAGACTTTAGACTTTAGACTTCAGACTTGATCTTCAGACTTGATCTTCAGACTTTAGACTTCTTCAGACTTTCAGACTTCATCCTTCATCTTTCATCTTCAGACTTTAGACTTCAGACTTTAGACTTCAGACTTGATGTTTAGACTAGTTTTCTCTGGTAACTGCCATTGTCATCATTTTATCTTAAACTCTTGAAACAGGAAGAAGTGTCATCGTCACCTCTTTCTCTTTTACATAGACAGGAAATGTGATGTGAGATATCGTTTCTACTCAGCAGCATCTGTCAACTGCTCAGAATCTGAGTCATTCTGTGCAGAGTATGTTGAACCAGCAGAAAGTCAAGGGTCGCTCTGATTCTGTGGGAGAACAACTGAAGTGGCTGTTTGGTCTAACCATGTTGCAGCTACGTTGCAGCTACGTTGCAGCTACGTTGCAGCTACGTTGCAGCTACAGTAGATTAATTGATTGTCCTTGACCTTTGAATTTGGATTTCACAAAAATCCAAATCATGGTCAAGTTAGTACCTGTGTTTCAGAGTGTCTCTGCGTTAGCTAGGTTGTAACATCACTCGTGCTGTGTTTTTCTGCTGGATATTTCTGGAACAGTAACACTTAGTGCTCGTGCATGTAACATGTTAGCATTATTCTGCTTCAGCAGCTGTACAGTAAAGAGCTTGAGGCGCGACTCCCTATTTCTGTATGGGGCAGAGTGGGGGGGGTGGGGGGGGGGTTGAAGGGTGAGGTTGAAGTCACAGTGATGTCATGCTAAGCTGTCATGATGCAGACACTGTCACTCAGTGTCAGGACTCCAGTCTGGCTCCAGCAGAACAGCTGGAGATGCTGTAGGAGATACTGACTGAGGAGAGAATACCACAGACAGTGGTTCACACCAATCAAGTCGCAGCTTCCCCTGTGGCTAACGCTAATGCAAGCGTGGACACAGCAGGCAAATGTACAGAATACTGGTGTTAGCACCAAACTGAGGGTTGCTCTAGATAAGCACAGTAAAGTGTTGTGATTGATTAAATACCCCTGAGGCTGTCTGTTACCCTGTTACCCTCATAGTAACTAATGTTATTTTCACATGTGATAGTTGGTTGATTGCAGTACGTGTCAGTTGACTAACCTGTCAACAAAGACAGTGTACATGTGTGTTAAAGTCAGAGCACAGGTGTGTGTGTGTGTGTGAGAGAGAGAGACAGTGGGATATAAAACATATGCTAACATTTTTAGATTGCTAACTATTTTTTTAGTGATGCACCAAAATGAAAATTCTTGGCCGAAACCCAAAAATGAAGCCGAGGCAGAAAACCGAAACACCAAAAGAAATTATTCTGCCAAATATTATTAGTACCATTGAATTTATGACTGTGAACTAAAGCTGAATAAAATCAAAGTTATTGAATAAATGATTGTTAATGTTTCAAAGAATAAACCAATGAAAAAATGATGAAAATATTTCTTCATCACATTCCATCAATGAACAATATCAAATCAAATCAACGTCTAAATCCAATGGTAAACCTGACTCCACTCCTGTGTCCATTCAGTGATAATGTCCAGGCCCACTGGTCATCAAAACACAAAGGTCACAGAGGTCAACTGTGGGTCAGTTCTCGTCTGTGCTGCTTTGTTCCCTCATCCCAGGAACGATGTTTCTGAAAAAAAAATGTACACAACTGCAAATCAGAAGAGCCACGTAGTGTTTGATCTGACTTTGATGTTGTTGAGTTTTGAGGTCATGGTGACATGATGACGTCGTGGTCACATGATGACGTCATGGTGACATGATGA